ATTATAAGCGTTTCATAGTTGGGCAGCAATTATGGCAAATAATGTGATGTTGAAAATAGTCCGAATGTGGCCGTGTTTGTACTCGTTTTCTTTGGCGGAATCTCGTTGATTCATTGACGATACTCCCGTGAAGATATAACGATAAATATCTTAATTGAAATTTATGTTTCGCTATGATGCTCGATGAGGATACGTTCTGTGCATACCTTCGAGTCGATGCCAATGATTTTGTTGCACTCCTCGCAGCCATTCGCGAAGACGCTCTCATAACACTTGATGCAGTAGGGGTGTTCATCCCTCAGCACGTAGCGTTGACCAGTCAAAGACTCGTCGCACTGCCAGCAACAGAAATGGCCGCTGTGCCAGTCCTTGTTCATCGCCTTCGTGTACTCGCCACTGAAAATCAACTGGAAAAGCAAAAAAACGCGTCTAGTTTAGCAACGATGTGATCCACATCAACGTTCACTCTTGGAACACCCGTTAGACCCGATTCCTTAGATTAATGACTATTAGTCACCATTTTGAACGGACCATCAGCGACAATTCTCAGCAAAGTTAATCAAAATTAACTAGTTCGCGTATCAACTCTTTCAGACTTGGACTTTCATCGAAATTTGTTGAAGTCTGAAAAGGTTGGATACAGGGTTAATTACGACAGTTAATTGTTCCCCAGTTAAGAGACTGGCGCGCGCAGACGAAACGAGGATTGAAATCAATTAACAAAAAAGTGATAAAAAGTTCGATGCGCTCCTCTCACAGCATCGTTTCGTTCTTTTAATCTTTTCGTTCGCGCGAATTCCTCCCATCTCGCGTTTCCGCGTTCGACGGTGTAGAATTGATCTGTTCCTGGTAGGTATGTACCTTGGTTGAGTGCTGTTGTATGTGCTGGCTGAGTATTGTTTGTACGGAAGCATATATATCTAGCTACTATGTGACGTAAAGCATGTATCGTGCCGCGGACGGGCCCTGGGACTACTCGTCGAATTCTTTCGGAGGATTCGAGTAGTATTTCAATATCACCCAAGTAACATTGAAATGTAATTCGAGTACTGGGCTACTTAAGCACAGTAAATCTTATAAATATTCGTACCCTGTATGTATATTGAAGAAGTTTGACCGAATTTAATAATAAAATAAATTTTGATATCACTAAATGAGTTTTTCATTATAAATATACATATTATTATATATATTATATATATATAAATAAACTTATACATGTATACATTTATATATACATCAAGATATTTATACAAACACACTCGGAAAGATCAAACCTGCGATTTCATTTAAACAAATTTCTTCGATAGACATAGTAGGGTACGAATACTTATGGGACTGGCTGTATAATTCGAATACTCGTAAAATCCTCGAGTAGTCACAGCTCTGGCCGCTGATTCTCAAGGGGTTGCGAGTTGCGAGTCGGTTCGCTCCTGTGAGAGAAGAGCGACCCTCGTGGAGAAGGGCTCCTGGGCCGCCGCCCTCGAAATCGGGACGAAAACATCCCTCGAAAGCTCGTAAATTCTTGGAAACGAACCGTGGCGACATTTTTGGGTCGAGAAAACCAAAATGGGGGGCGGGAACGATCGAACCGATGCGGTGGCGACGGGAGTATTTTCGCGTACAGCGAAATTGGGTCGCAGGGGTCGAACGCACCCTTTGAACGCACTCAAATTTCACCGTGACTTCGCAGGATGATAGACAACAGGTCCCTACTGCGACGCGCAAAATATTAAGTAGGGATATATTCGATTATTTTAGGGGTGTAAATATTCCAAAAGAATATATATATATTTTCCAAAAGAATAAGAATACTGTTCTATCTCTGGGTATAAATTCTCAATTCTATAATTTTTCTCTTTCCCTCGTGACTGTGCATTTTTCTGTGCATTTTTCTGTGCACTTTTCTGTTGCATACTTTCTACCTTGGCAGAATTTAACGTTACGCGTGGTGTACGTTTTTTTTTTATTAATAAAGTCCACCAGAAGGGTTGTACTAATTCGAATAGTATTTATCGATTTTGAATGACACTCGAGTACTCCGGTATTCGAGCTCGGCAATTGCTCGATTCTGATATACACCTCGCGCGACCCGAATCTCCGAAGACCACCGAACTTCGTTCATCCACCCCTAGCCGAACCGAGAGGGCGACGATCTCGACGACTAACCCTCTCTTCGTTATTTCCGCGTTCCTCTAGTTTCTCGCGTCGCGAGGACGTTCAATCTATCGCACAATCAACACGGGTACATCCCTCACTCATCCCCTTACCATCCTGCGTAATCACCATAAAACCAGAGGAAAACGTCGGTCCTTCCCTCCCAATCCTACTTTCCATGGGAAGATAAAATTAAGTGGGATTCGAACCCACAATTCTCGATTTTACACGACCAATCCCTACGTTTCGTGTTCTCGTTCGACTCGATCTTCCTGGGTATGGAAAACGCGTATACTACAGTTTGTATTTTATATCGTACCCGTCGTCAATTATTCGATTCGTACACAGTGATGGGGAAAACCCTATGCTTCGAATAAATCTGAAGTTTGCCGATGTGTTTGTCTCGTTTCCTTTCTTGAACATTTTCCATAAGAAGGAAACGAGACAAACACATCGGTAAACTTCAGATTTATTCGAAGCCTAGGGGTTTGCCCATCACTGTTCGTACAGAAGGCACGAGACGTAAAACGAAAGTATCTTCTTCGAATTAGAAAACCGACCCCCCGAGGAGCAATGAGACCACCGTCATCGTTCTACGGACCCCCTGGGCCATCGACAGCGACCCAGGCTCTCGTGGCGGCGGCCAAGGTCCCTCCCGAGGGATCTTGGATCGCGGAACAGTTAGAAACGCGACGTGTCCCATCCGCGCGATAAAAGGGGTGGCCGATTCGAGGCACGTCTGCAGCCAGCACATACTCTTCGATGGCGTGGTGGTTGTTCTGCGTGCTGTCGACCTCGGTGATCGTGACCTCAGCGTTCTGATCGTGGCTCTCCCTGCGCTTGGTCGTCTTCTTCACTTTGCGAACCTTGCGCTCGGTGGTCGTGTACACTACACTGTCTACGTCCGCCATCGTCGAGTCAATGGGATCGTTCTACGAAAGGTGTTGTTTTCCTTTTTTTTCTTCTCTCTTTCGAAGCACGCGTGATCTCTCGCGATCGGCACGTCTGATCCGTCCGCACGGGCAGGGATGAGGTCAGGGACTGGGAGACGATCGAGCGTCGAGGAGCAACGGATGTTCGGTTACGGGGATAGAGAGAGAGAGAGAAAAAAAGAGAGAGAGAGAGAGAAAAAGAAAGAGAGAGAGAGAGCGTGTGCGATCAAGGGAGTCGGTGTAACCAGCAGCTTTCGAGCTTGCGAACTGACTGAAATCTAGGATCGGCCCGCTCCGGGCGTCATCATATCGGGACGCTATTTTCGGCGTCCCGACGACTCCAGAATACGCGTCGCGCGCGTCCTCCCGCCACCCCTCCTG